GCCATGCAGTGCCGTCTGAGGAGTGTGTTGTGTTTCAGCAACCTCTTCCGAGACTGCAGTGCCCTAATGGGAATGAACGCTCAAGCCCTCCAAGTAATGAGGGTCCCTCCCCATGCTCTGCACACATTTAATTGTTGAGTTATGCTTCCTGTTCCTTCTCAATGCTAATGCTTTTGCTGAAATTCTCTCCCAGTGTTTCCAGAAGAACTTTTGACCCCAAGAGTGTTTTTAAAATTATGGCATTGTTATTCTGTTCCTTATTAGACTTGCATGGCTACAGGTAATTACGTATGGATTCCCTAGTAAGGCAAAAAGGCCCAGGATAAAAAAATAACTAAGCGGTCCTACGGCTCAGATAAAAAGTAAAAATTATAAGGGAGGTGGTCTAAACAAACACATTTCTTCATATTCACAAAGCGGGCTTATTTATCCACTTCCAGCTGCACGTCTTGCAAAAAAAACACAAATGGCATTTGGCAGGGATAAGGAAACCCAGCTCACGCAAGAAACCTTTAACATCCTGTTGCTGTTATTTGTGGGAGGATCAAGACCTGTCACTGGGTCAGTGTCATCTTCGTGTGCAACACGCCTGCACCTCGCGTGAAAGTACACATCAACCACTTTAGGTCAGTGCAAAATATTAAACATGAGCCGAAGAGGCTTGCAGGCTGTGTCCCCAGGGCTTGCCTGCACAGTGGGCTTGGGCATGGGGAGGCAAACTGTCTCCCTTCCCAGCTCCCTCCCAACAGGCAGGGATAAACGATGACCTCCTTTCCCAAATAAGAAGTTTGTCTTTTGTACAATTCTATTCTGCACGAAATAGACTCAGCTCAGGCACCTGCCTCCAGCATCACAAGGGGCAGATACCCAGGGGAGAGCACAAGATTAAGTACAGCACAGAGCAACAGTCCCCAGCCTTCCCTCCCTGCCTCCAGCAACTACAGATCCAAACTTCCCAAGCCAGACACCCCCTTCTTGTATTCAGTAACTTTTGGGAATTTCAAGCCATTAATATGAAGCTGGTCACTGAAGCTGAACACTTCAAAAATAAAGCACTTGGATCATCGTATATTGAACAATATAGCACTACCAGAAACAAAGGCAAAAACTTTCAGAAGCAACCAAGAATGGCACGTGCCTCTGCCTGGAGACCCAAAATGCCCCAAATTCGTCAGACACTTTGCAAATTCTTGGCAGACCCGCTTTCTCTTTAGAGTTCATTTCCCAGGTTGCTCTACCAGTCAGCAATAATGACAGATTCAATTTCAAGCAACAGAAATACTAGGAAAAGTGAATTTGAATTAAAAATACATCATCAAAGGCAAATACTATCATATCACCCTATTTTGCTTAGACATAAATAATGACATTTTAAAATAGTAATTACAGCTGTAGAAGGTAAAATACACATCTGGGGGGAAGTTTAAAATCCCTGAAGTGTCTCAGGACAATTTAGCACAACATAACTCTGTGGCCCAGTGTTTCATACCTGAAGTTAAGGAACATTTTGGCCAAACGAAAGAAATGCACTTTAAGGATATTACAGTAATTGGTTTTCTGCCTTGAAGCACAACTTTTATTAAAGTTAGAATTTCAAGAGATGTTTCATGTTAAACAGGGCTTTACATAAGGAGAGTCTGTAAAAACAGAGCTCCAATTAAATGCATTATGATTTTTTTATTAATGAAACACAATAAATGGACTTTCAAGTAAGGCTTACAAGTGATATTTCCCTTAAATTACAGTTTTCAAGTGTCACCAAACTCTCCTGCTGCATCTTGGGGAAGCTGACTAGCTCAAGTTATAGCTTCCCTGGCTGGAAACACTCGAGCAAAACTTAAAAAGAGTTTTGAATAACTAACAAATAGGGAAATTTTTTAACATCCAGCCTCCAGAGAAGAGATTTGTTTCTCTTCTTAATTTTTTCACAGAATCATACAGTAATCCAGGTTGGAAGCAACCTTTGGGGATCCCTGGTCCAGCCCACATCTCAAAGCAGAAACAACTTAGATCAGGTTCCTCAGGGCCTGGTCCAGTTCTTATAACTACAAGGATGAAGATTTTAAGACATACCTTAGATCGAAGTGATTATTTTTTCTACCTCATTCAGCCTTTAAGCAATCAGGTGCTAAGGCATAACAGCAAATCCACCAGGTCTATAAACTATGGTTCTGAATACTCAGCACCGCACTATATTCACAGCAAAGTCAGTGAAAGATGACCTTAGACAACCGTAAGAGCTCCTGCATGTTTTGTAGTATCTTCAACAACGGCTCAAGAATTAGATATACACAGTGCCAGTCAGAAAAGGGACAGTGAAGTCTCAGATGATAACAAATCACCCTGAACTACTTGTTGTTACCTAACCACTCAGCACCTGACAGCACCCCTTTAAGTCTCTACAAAGCCCTGCAGAGTAAACAAGAAAATTCATTAACCTCTTGTCAGAGGTGAGAAGCTGGTGGCAAGAAAGGTAACTCCTGGCCAGAGCCAGGTTGAGAACTGGTTTCAAACCTAAGAGGTATGATGCTTTAACAGAGACCACAGTCTCAGTTCTCTGGTCCAGACCCTGAGTACCACCCACCCTGGAAGTGTAAAACAACTATATTTGCACAGATTAAAAACGGTCCAGCTAGTCCCTGCTCTAATCATCAGTCACACTGTCATCCCTTATCTACAGTATAAATATAATGGAATATATATGAGAGAACGCGAAGACACTTGAGTATTATCAAGAGAGTGTGAGCAGCAAAAGGACAGTAATTTCCAATGCAATTTTTCAATAATCTATATGACTACACATATATATATTTTTAAAAAAAAATCATGTGATGCTTCATGTTCATACTGACCTTGAAATCAGCTTCTAAGCTTTGCTTTGAGCCCTCCCCCCGTCCATCTTGCCAGGTGGAAAAAAGCCACGTGTGAAGTTTATCTTTTCCATACATTTATCTTCCTATGCCCTGTATGCTGGCATGAAGGATCTGCACAGACCAGCTCAGCTCAGGCTCTCTGACCTGATGAGGATGGATCAGGCTGTAGGTAGAGCTGAGGGGTGTGCACGGCACAGACTGCCCAGCCTGGGCCATAGAGAGCCCGTCTGCACTCCCGAGGCCGAGAAAGCAATTACAAGGGGAATGCAAAGACATTCTGTGCTTTGAAAATGAAGGATTTCATGAGCAGCTCAAGCAAAAAAAGAAGAGGTTCTGAGAGTCAGCAATAACTTATTATTACTCTCAGCATTACATCCCCTCCAACAACAACAAAAAATTAATAGAAACAGAGAAAAAAATAATCTTGTTGCTGTTCTTCTGATGTGCTTACTGTACTCAGATTTCTGTGATTCCGCGGCATCTCCCAGCGATACACTATGAAAGCCCAGAGCTATCACCAGATAGGTGGGCAAATCAAACCAGGTCTGAATTAGGCTACCACCCAGCACCGAGACAGACACCAAGCTCACGTCCACGCTGATGGGCTCTGGGCTGCCTCATGCAGCTGGGTCTTCAAGGCGGCGTGCACCTCGGCTATCTCAAGCTTCCCCTAGCATTACGTTAATCTGGAAAGGAAATACCCGACAAAAAAAGGCATCTCTGAAAGCCAGGCAGAGCTCTGCTGCAAAGTCAGGAGCACACCAAGTGACAAATAGTTCCTAGCGTGTGCCGAAAGAGTCACTGGGCCACTGCAGAGCTGCATCCTAAAGCCACACATAAAAATCAATTTTGTCAAAACTTAATTACATTTAAATGTTACTGAGTCACGGCCTTATGAAAAATTACCAGAATTTGAAACATGATACATAGATGACTTTAAACTATTTTGATAGCCAGAAGAATGCTTAGTGCCCACTCGAGTTAGCACAAACACTACACCTTCATCAGTGTGCTAAGCATCCCTGATTTATTTGTTTTTCCCTTCCTCCCTCCTAAAAGGCACCTTGGCACACAGAAGAGAAGATAGTGCAGCAATAACAAACCTGTCACAGTAGAGAGATGAGTAAGAGTGAGGACTGTTACAAGCATAGACTCAAAGAAAGTCAGAGATAACAGGCAGGTATGAAGTGAACACCAGCATCAGCTAGACTACAGCGCAAGACTCGTCCTGGGAAGCAGTCGTTTGCTCAGAAAAGGGAAAATAAGAATACAGAATCAAAACAAATCACCAAACAAGTGTCACATCTGAGCCGTCCAGAGGTTTGAGATTTATTATAATTGCCACAGAAAAGAGGGAGGGAAAAAAAGACAATAGATAAAATGATAAAAGCTTCAAGTGAATCCATCTGGTTTCCCTTGCTGGAAAACCAGCCTGTGAGCTCTTCAGAGTAGAAAACATAATTTTATTCTTTGCCTATACAATACAACAGAGGCCTAGAACACCGATGAAGTTTCAGAGAGCTGCCACATTACATATAAATAACAATAATCCATTTAATCTCTGCTTAATGCACCCTGAAGGGAATGCAAGTGAGATTATCTACTGGCAGCATTTATTCAGCAGAACTTCAGTTATGGTTCACAGCCAGAAATTCATATCCCTCCCCACAAAAGTGTCTGTTGGCTTCAACAGAGCTAATAAAAACTTGAAGACTTGGATCATAAACTGTTAAAGAAGTTTGGTTACAAAAGGAGAGGAAAGAAGAGCGTGTTATAGCGTAAGCACTGCAAGCGACTGCATCAGATCCAACAAAAGCAGTGGAAGTGGGTGGAAAACAGTCCAACGGCAGAGAGAAAAACAAAACTGTGATTGCCACATAGCTTGGAGGACACGAGAGCTCCTGCTCCCTGTGCTGCTGCTTTGCTGCTGTGCAGTAGTGTAGATGGCAGATGCTGTGGTAGATGCCATCCCCTTTTCAGCTTGTCACCCACGCCCCACGCAAAGAAGAGCTGGATGGAATTGCCCCATCCCGAGGACCTGCTCCACGTCAGGCTGTAGGAGAACGTGACAGATGCAAACAGGCATCAAGGGAGAGGGTAAAATCGTCACACCGAAGTCACACTTACAGCGACCAGTTTTTCAGGAGAGACATTCACTCCTTTCACATCTTCTTCTTCTGGTTCTTCGTTTTCCTTATTGTCTGTGCAAGAGACAGAGTCCTGCACGGAGCAAGAGCTAAGCAAGTCTGGCAAACTGGTAGATGGGTACTTCAGAAAATCCCCTTCAGCAGACTCCTACATGAGAGACAAGAAGATATGTTACATCATGTGCAGAAAACCACCAAAGCCATGGTGAAACTGCCCAGTGAGAGCTCCCCTCGTTACACACTTCCATGTGCTCAAACTTTAATGGTCCAGTTATAAACAGCAGACCTAGTTTTAAAGTGCATATATAGTAAGCAGGCCAATACACATCTAAAATACTGAGATTTTCTAAAGGAGAATTTAAAGTAAGTGTTTCCAGCAGCTTGCTCCTCCCCACTTTGGGTTTATTAAATGTCACTGTGAGCAGACTCAGAGTTTACAAATCTCATTACTCATTTCATTGCAACCCAAATCACATTCTGTGTGCTCCTGCTCTCTCCCTGTGGATGTTCCCTTCACAGTTTATCTGACTACATGCACTAGAGTAACACACCAACAACCCTAATTAAGAGAACAAGATGGGAACTGACCCACCAATCCTATACCAACTCAGTCCTGATGCTTCAGGATCTGTTTCCAGTCTTTGGCACCTCTCCCATGAGGCAAACGTGTATCAGCCGAAAGCAGTGGCCAGACAGACTCCTTTTATTGCTTTCAGAACAAATCCTGCCTTCAGGAGTGCTCACCAGGCCAAACTGCAAGGCTGCTTTCCCACACCAACAAATAATGCCCACAGGGAGCTGCTGGGGAACACTTCACCTATTTACACCTTCCCTGAGACAGCCTGAAACATGGCACAGGCTGGATTCCCGACAGCCTGCCTTTCCAAGTCCTCCTCCCAGGGACATGAAAACCATCCAAGCGCACAGAGCACGGGCCAAACAGATCCACAGCCCAATCAGGAATGTGAGTTTTTATGCTGTAAGCTCATTCATGATGATTGTTTTGATGCAGTCATCACATGAACAAGCAAGTAATTTTACGGAGAAATTTATGCAGTCTACTGCCTTTGGCAGAGAGTCCAATTGTCTAAAGGAAGTAAAAAATGTACCTTCAGCACAGTTAGACTTCACTGCCTAACTGAAACGTTAGAGAACTTGTAGGCTCTTCACTTTGCATATGGTGGGATAGAGCCTCTTCTTGAAAAACATGAGCATAAAGCACTCCTGGAAGCCCTAAGAGCATCCAGACATTAAGCCTACAGACACCTGCATCAGGTTGGCTGGGGCAACCTGAAGGTGAAGCCAAGAAAAATGTTAAAAACACAGACACAGTGGCTTGCTGACACATCACGCGCCACCTGAAAACACATGTTTTATGAGCGGTCCCTTTGGGCCAAGATGTTCCTGTCACCACCCCAAAGGCCCTGATGGCCCCCACTTGCAGGGAAGGTCCTCCTTTAAGATCCCGGGTGATTTTGGGAGCCAGCTGGCCATTCACCAAATGCCTGCATCAACCCAATCAGGGGAACAGCAGGCTGTGGGATGGGGAGGAGAGCAAACGGGAGCAGGCAGGATCATCTTAAACAAAGGACAACATGTTCTGTAATAGGCCCTCAAACTCTCCTGCGATGAAAGCAGAATGAAGAGCCTGACTGATAAATGAGTTCCACTCATTTCCCTGAAATTTCATGCTCCTTTATCTGCAACAGCTCCACTCCAAGCTATTAACAAGGACAAAATAAGGAACTCAAGCCAAGAGATCCTCATCAAGAGACCTCAGGCGCATGGATCGAAAAAGAGATGAGAGCTACGGAGACTACGCAGGCAGGAAGCAGAAGAGGCTGAGAACAGCCTGCTTTACTTAGCATGTATTTTAAGAAAATGGTTTTAGCCAAAACTTAAGTAACGTCTGCATGAATAAACACAGACTCATTTGCACACTGAACGACAGTGACAATGCAAGCAAATCATTAAGTTGGTCTATACCCTGCTGATTTGCTACAGATTTATGGCAGCTAGTGATACTTTTCCCATAGCTATGCATGAAATTTAGGGGAGCAAATGTGCACATGCGATTCCCTATCAAAAATATGCCCTTTCCGCACAACACTTGCACAAGGGCTTGTGGATGCACATTCAGGAGACCACCAAGGGGAGGACTGTACCTTGCTAGCGACCACCAGCTGCACCAGGCCAGCAGCTGAGCGTAGGAGAGCCACGGCATCCTGGTGGGAAAGCCCGACCAGTGAGTGCCCGTTGATCGTGAGGAGCTCATCGCCCACCGTCAGCCTGCCGTCCCTGCGGAAACAGAGTAGGTACACGGAGCTACAGGGTGGTCCTTCCCCAGTGCCAGGCTCCAGTGGGACATGGAGGAATATACTACATGTGATCTAGCTGACACTAAGCTTGAAATGTGGCTCAGAAAGGTGTCCCCAGGAAATCATTTTTATAACCAGAGTAATTTCACCCGCCTTAGAGGGCTGAGGCCCTCCAAACCTCCTCCATGCCCCACCGCAGACAATCAGGGAGGAGGACTGAGCCCCATTTCCCCCCGATCAGGGTGCAGTGGAGTGAACACCCTAGTGTGCACGACCCACACTGGCCCACTGTCGATCCCACAGCACATCTTCCAAAAAGGGACTTGGGGAAAAAGCCCCACAAGCCACCAGGCTTCTTGGTTTACACTGCATCACCAAGCATTTGATCTATCTATATTCTGGGCTAAACATAATGGAAGAAGTTTCAGTGACCAACCATAATAATAAATTCTTAAACTAAAAATGCCATATTGTCACCCTAAAGGAAGGGCAAAACTCCCACGCCTGTCTCATGAGTCTGGCTAACAGGGATGGCCACGTACACTCCATCGCACCCTCTCCCACAAAGTCACCACTGTCACCTCACCTGTGTGCAGAGCCGCCTTCCTCCACGTGAGTGATGATGATGCTGTGAGGGGACCGCTTTGACCCTCTGCCTCCCGTTATCTGGATTCCCAGCCCATCCGTCCCTTTCAGGATGTGCATCTTCCATATGCGGCAACCTTCTCGCTGAGAGAAAACGTGCAGAGAGTCCTTGAATTTGGATTTGGACACTGAGAGAGGGGCTAGGAGGGGACAGGAGGGAGCTATTTGCTGCCCATCACCACACGTCTGTATAGCTCAAGCTATACGGGTGTTTTTGCCGAGCTTTGCGGTGTTAGCTGTGGTCCAAGCGAAGGAGGCAGAAAGGAGGAGGCAGCACAGAGCAGGGCCAGCACGTAGAGATTTCCTTGCAGGGCTTTTTGCAGCTTTTCTGAGACACGCAGAGGTGCTGCTTTCAATGCCATGATCTGTCCTGAAGCAACCAGCAGCCTCAAACCCCTTTGCTCAAACTCCAGGATGAGCTGTGCAGGGCTGCAGAGGAGCGAGACACCGTTCAAGGGGGACCTTGAACGCTGGGTAGCGCAGCTGCTGTTGCAGCAGGGACCAGTCAGGCATCACGCAGCAGCGTTTCCCTCTCCGGAGGGGTTTGCAGGAGTTGAGATATAGGAAAGAAAATACCAGCTTCAACTTATCAGCTGCCAATCAAATATTTATTATTGGACAGCTGTTGTACAGACTGTAAATAATAAATTTACCCACCACAGAGAATAACTTCAATATAAGCAAGGTAATAAGCGATATTTAGGACACCTTTCTTATTCTTTTATTAATGATTATAAATATTTGTCAAAAAAAGTGCTTTACAAACTCCAGAGCGATGCGAAATGCAAAACAAAAACTAGTTCCCATGAGTCCTACCGGCACAAGGAAACACAAGCGCGGCAGTTATCAGCAGAGCAAAAAAGGAAAGAGAAAAGCACACAAGTAAGCAAGACACACAAGGCGATTGCTGGGACGCTCTCGGAGAGAGGAAGGAACCGGGTAACAGAATTATGAGAAAACCGAGGAAGTCCTCAAGCTTGCAAGCAAGCCAAATGAACAATTCAGAGGCAGATTTTGGGCTATCTGTTGTGGTCACCACGCACAGTGTCAGCTATTTTTGACCGGATCTGTTCTGCACACAAGTAACGTTCTTGCAGTACGCAAACGCCCAAGTAGCAAAGATGATTAAAATTTCATGTCAAACTGTGAAGAGCATATACAAATTGCTGCTTGTTTCTGAGAAGGGGAACTGCTACATGTATCAGCAAACCCAAGGGTTGTAGCAACAACACGGGGATTTTAGGCCAACATTGTTTATCAGAGCCTTTATTAAGTGAAGAAAATTTGCCTTTTTTTTTTTTTAACCTGATCCCTGGGGCCTTATGCTGAAGACTTTTAAATGCAGTGCAAGGTTAAGTTTTTCAGACACAGGAACAAGGAGATCAGTATCTACACCAGTATCTTAAGAACAAAGTGAAAAATAATAATGTTACACAGCCCCTGGACCACAGGTGGGAGAAACAGGAAAAACAAATCAGGTGTCTGAAGAGGTAATCCAAAGGTTTGAGCCTGATAACATAGAATCACAGAATGGTTTGGGTTGGAAGGGACCTTAAAGATCATCTAGTTCCAAGCCC